ATAGATATATATATAGATAGATATATATATCTATATATATAGATATATCTATCTATATATATAAATACAAAAAACCATTCAACAGTTGAAGCACTTATAATACAATAACTGGGAAGCATGTGCTTGACCTCAAATAGATCACATTCCTATGGTATTCTAAAAATAAGATGATTAAAAAACAGATAATGTTGCTAATTTCTTTGACATTTTTTTGCAGAGAAAAGTGTATAGAGACTTAGAAAAGCGCAAGGCACTTTTGTTTCCTATGAAACCTTCAAGTGTTTCCTGTGTTTACACATTTTGCCTGAGCTGGAGAACAACACAGGCAGCTTATATAGCTAAAAGACATACTAGTAGAAGAATATTCACATGACCAAGATGTTCTGCCAAAATAATACATTTCTATGTGTAGTGAATCCTCTTGCTATTCTGTTTCCAGTTAACATGTCTTTAAAGAATACCAACTCTTTGAGATTATAATTAATTGCTGTAGCATCCTTTATGTAAAGTCAGTATAATTTTTTTCTTTAAATTACAGCATCAGTTTGTTACGATTATCCATGCTTATGTTATATTTGCAGCAAATATCTCATGTTTGCCAAAGGAACTCATATACAACCTAAGTTTACTTAATGTACATAGCACTCCTTGTGGATTCCAAGCATACACATGTTCTAGCAAACAAGACAGTATTTACAGTTACACTGAATGCTGAAAATTTTACTATCAAAGAACTGTAAAAAAAAAATTCCCACAGGAATGACCAGTTATGTTTTTTCCTGGGTCCGCAGTGGTTAAAGACTGAAAATTCTTGTTAAAGCCGTAAAAAGACTTTTTTTATTTAAACTTGTATTTGTCCAACACTAATGTTTACTGAGAAAAGCTGAGGAATTTTTTGATGACCATTTTTTGGGAAATGTCACTGAGTTTTAAGTACTACTCTCGGTTAAATTGAATAGTATTCAGCTTAGTTTTTATACTGTTCATGTATACTGTATGTGTTTGTTAAATTGCAACCGGACTAAGTAAAGTGTACTCTTCTTATTCAGTTTGTATGTGTGTCCATGCTACAGTTCTCTTATATTGCATTATTCTACAAAATTTGGGGAACATCATTGTTTCTAGGTATATTTAGCACTTTTTTCATTAAAACTTTTTTTGATTGTGAGATACAAACATGTTTTCATAATAAAAGTTAAAAAAATATTAAAAAGCACATTTCTGCACTTCCAATAAGTTGCGTTTACAATGCATCATAAATGACAGTTGTTGAAAATTAAAAGTATGTACAGTTAGTAAATCATTTTTGGTAAGTCAGTTGATAATTTAAGTTATTGTATAGTTATAATCATTCAATTGCTAAAATATATGATAAAAAATAACAAATGGTGACCCCCACCCCATCCTTTCTTTCTTCCTTCCTTCCTTCATTTCCTTGCTTCCTCGACACTTATCCTTCCTTCTCATCCTTTTTTCCACCTTTTTACAACCTTCCTTTCATTCTCTTGTCACCATGCACAGGTCTTTACCTTTGCCAGACTTTTTTTTTGTCCAAAACCTGGTTTGGAGACTTTGTGGCACACATATAGATGTTGTGGTACATGAAAAGAGCAGGTTCAAGAAAACTGTTAGAAGACAAATATTTACTGCCAGAAGATTATAGAAAAATTTAAGCAAAAAAACAACCAGTTACGTGTTCAAGATAATGTGAATACAGTAAATAAAGTACCTTCTGCTGTCAAATGGAAGAATGTCAGACATCACAGATGATTCCAATAACAACGAAGCATAACACCAATCTACAAATATAATATTGTTTATCAGCTTCTGAAAATTAGCAGGACAGTATGGTGCAAAATATTCAGACACATGACATTCACATGAAGTTTAGCACCAACATATTATATATAAGTTAATTTTCATCACCCAAATGTATATGTCACCAAGGCATAGTGTGAGTATAAACTTTTTGTGCCGGAACAACCACTCAAAATCCTAACTCAAAGTATCTTTTCTTAGCCTTAATGCTCAAAGTACCCTAGCATGAATTTGATAAAGTAAGATCAAAGATGAACCTTCAGCACTCAAGTACTAACTAAACCAGTGTATGAACTTGTTTAGTGATATCAGCATTCACACAAACATTGTGAATAATGCCCTTGCAAATGTAAAAAGTTATTTTCTGATATCTAAGTTACCTTTTGCAGGGTAAATTTGGCAAATCCTGTTT